TATTAGAATTGTATTATATATGCAGATTAACTGGGACCATTTTGGTATTTTATAATATCAAATCTTACCATGCATGAAAAAGATGTCTCTCCATTTACTTAGATCTTCTTTTATTTCCATCCATCAAAAAAAGTTTTCTTTCTCCATAAAAAACTTGACATCTTTTGTTAAGTTCATTCTTAGCACCCTATAGGTTTTGTTGCTTTTATGAATATTATTTTTAAATCACATTTCCTAATAGGTTGTAGCTGATGTATAGTAATACTTTTGATTTTTCATTGTTGGTATTGTATCAGTAATTCTGCCAAACTCTCATTTAGACAATCATTTATGATTCAATATACTTCTGTTTCTTTTTATTCTTTTGTTTCTCATTTTTTTCCCTTAAGTTATTGTACTGGCAGTGTCTCTGCCACAGTAATGATATATAACAGTTGTATAACAGTGATGATATTATGACCTTGTTCTTGAAAAAGGGAACAAATTCATTGATTCACCATTAAACTTTACATATATGTATACATACACTTACATACACACACACGCACTCACACACTTTGTAGGCTTTATTATTTTTTTCTAAGCCATAACTCTGGGTTTTATTCATTTTAATTTGAAAATATTAAGGGGGTACAAATGTTTTTGTTACATGGATAGCTTTTGTAATGTTTGAGTCAGGGCTACAAGTGTGCCTATCACCTGAATAGTGTTAGTGTTCACTGTACCCATTAGGTAGGTTTTTACCCCTTCCCTCTTCCCTTTCCTCCCTGCTTGATTTCCAATACTTTTACTTCCCTCTGTGCACATGTGTGCCCCTTGGTTAGTTCCAGTTTATTAGGAAGTATATGTGGTGTTTGTTTTCCATTCTTGAGAAAATTCACTTAGGATAATAGTCTCCAGTTCCATCCAGATTTCTGTAAAAGGCACTAATTCCTCCTTTTATGCCTTAGTAGTACTCCGTGGTATACATATACCACATTTTGTTAATCCACTCATGAATTGATGGGCACTTGGGTTGATTCCACATCTTTGCAATTGTGAATTGTGCTGCAATAATCATTCGAGTGCAGGTGTCTTTTTGGTAAAATGACTTATTTTCCTTTGGGTAAATACCCAGTAGTGGGATTGCTGGATCAAATGGTAGATCTACATTTAGTTCTTTGAAAAATCTCCACACTGTTTTTCATAGAGGTTGTACCAATTTGCAGTCCCACCAAGTGTATAAGTGTTCCTTTCTCTCTGCATCCATGCCAACATCTATTGTTTCTGGACTTTTTAATAAAAGCCATTCAAACAGGGATAAAATCATATCTCATTGTGATTTTAATTTGCATTTCCCTGATGATGAGTGACTTGAGCATTTTTTCGTGTGTTTGTTGGCCATTTGTCTATCTTCTTTTGAACAACTTCTGTTCATGTCTTTTGCCCACTTTTTAATAGGGTGGGTTGTTTTTTCCTTGCTGATTTGTTTCTTTGTAGATGCTGGATATTAGCCCTTTATCAGATGTATAGTTTATGAATATTTTCTCCCATTTTTTAGGTTGTCTGCTCTGCTGATTATTTCCTTAGCTGTACAGAAGCTTTTCAATTTAATCAAGTCCCATTTATTTATTTTTGTTGTTGCCGTAGTTGCCTTTGGGGTCTTAGTCCTAAATTCTTTGCCTAGGCCAATATCTAGAAGAGTTTTTTCTACATTTTCTTCTAAAATTCTTATGGTTTCATGCCTGACATTTAAATCAAAAGATTTCCCTCTTGCATTAGTTTTTGTGAGTGGTGAGAGATAGGGGTCCTGTTGCATTCTTCTACAATTCTAAGAGTCTCTTGGTGGAGTCTTTGGGGTTTTTTAGATAAAATATTGTATCGTCAGCAAAAAGCGGTAATTTGACCTCCTCTTTCCCGATTTGGATACTCTTTATTTCTTTCCCTTGCCTGATTGCTCTGGCTAGGACTTCCAGCACTAGTTGAATAGAAGTGATGACAGTGGGCACTCTTGTCTTGTTCCAGTTCTTACGGGGAATCCTTTCAACTTTTTCCCCATTCAGTATGGTGTTGGCTGTGGGTTTGTCATATAAGGCTTTTAAAATTTTGAGACACTTTATAAGCTTTAGAAGAT